TTACTATTCTCAATTTGTACGAAATAAATATAGTTCAATGAAAATGCGGGTTCGTTCACAGCAAGGTTCGATCAGAACAGTGGTTCAAAAAAAACTTCCAATTTGGCGTTTTTTTCTTTCAAACCGAAAGAGCAGCGGCTGTCGAAACGCCGATTTTCGCTTTCTGAATTTTCCAATTTTTAAGCTACACCTGAGTACAGCTACAATTTTGAAGAAAATGACAACCACGGCTTTGCAGAGCGAGAAGAGTACTTTCAATAATCTGAGCGGTTTTTCCGAGTGGTACTTGTACTTCTTAAATTTATACGCTCGAAAACGATATTATGCTCTAAGCCAATGTGTATTAATTTCTAATCAACACGGCTGGCACAGGTGCTTGATTATTTCGCTATCCAAACTTTGATTTTTACTGGGTCCCATGCTATCTGCAGTGAAATCTTGCAGATTTCAGCCCCAGAATTCACCTTGATACCTCGTTACTCTTGGGAAGCCAATTATGGTTTGATTGCTGGTTTGGTTGCCTCTGGTCATCAAGCCCAAACCCAAACTTCTCATAGCTTCAACATCGAATTCAATCAATTACGTCGATTTGTCAGTCTATTGAATGGCATGTGGCAGGAATTGTGGCCGTACTTCCGAGACAAGGGCGATTCAAACAGTTCGGCTGGTTGGAAGGTCAGTTAGCCTTTCCTAGATCTAATTCTAGTTCTAGTAAATATCCCATTTTTATTTAAGAAAGTCAGCTTTTCCACTTTTACTAATCCGACCTATGGGAGCTTACTGTCTCGTTGATATGTCTTTGGGATATTTACTCTGCTTTGTTTGCTTGGTTCTTTTTCTGCAGCGAGGTGACGATTCTGTTGATTCTCTCTCGGTTCTTGTGATTGTGATGTTTTGCTGTTTTTCCCCCAGAGTGCTGCTCTCCAACACAACGGAGATGAGAGTGATTGGGTCAGAGCGAGGAGAGTACGGGAAGCACAGACCTGGTCTAGTTTTATGTGACTGTTTTGCCATATGGTTGCCGCGTCTTTGTCCGGTGGGGTGGTGGCAGTGTTAGATGACTCCATCGCTGTCATCGGTGTTGCTCGGGGTTGCTGACGAACAACTGGGAGGTACTTAGATTGTAAACGTGGGTGACCATAAGGTCGGAGGCTAGGGGCTGCGCATCGCGAAAGTGTATGCTATACGAAGTTATTACGACGATATTAGTGCTCCAACCCAACGGATCACGAAAATCAGAAGAAGCGCCAGTCAGCTCCTGCACGTATGTAGGATGATGCTCACTGAACTAATCACATACCTTTTTGACTTGTTTTTGTTTGTTAACTGCTGTTTTTGGCCGCAGTTCGCCTTGCGAATGTTTCACAAGAATGCTGGGTTGTGAACAAAACTTTCGCCCCAGGCGGGACTAGAACCCGCACCTCTCGCTTTGAGAAAGCGAGAGGTGCGGGTTCTAGTCCCGCCTGGGGCGAAAGTTTTGTTCACAACCCAGCATTCTTGTGAAATAATCACAATACCGTAACACATGATCGTCGATATATTGATTTTTACCCTCTCACTTATTATCAACGCATGGACGGAAATAAGGCGAGGCAGGCTTCCTCTGCGATTTACTGTGAAGCTCAGTAAATGACAATCATTTCCAAAGTGATGATTAAATTTCACTGAAGAAATGACGAGCGTCAACCATCGACACTGTTTCTGAATCAATCGATACTCTGATTTTCATGTGTTCCCCACACTCAACGCTGCAATGCAAATCCATACTATAACATGAATTGCCTACAAATATCTGGCCTAAAAATTGTTACAGAAGCTCGGTGGGGACCGGATTTCACCTAACATTTCCAAAGGACCAGTGGTAAAAATTACCGTCTATCCAGTGACCAGAAGAGCGTCAAGTGAAGTCTACACACCACAACTGACGACGACCGAGAAAAAGTGGCTTTTTTCTTGGAGATCGTCACTGATGGTGTGTGGTACGCACTCGACGCTCTTCTCGTTTTCCGAAAAAGGCAAACTCAATTTTCTGGTACTCCCAAGTCGACTTTCTGGAATCCGCAGAGGTTTCACGTTTTGTGGTCATATGAGCCTGCCGTAAATATCCATCTTACAGCTTATTCCATAAAATAAAGCATAGTGAATAAAAGAAGGAAAAAATATTGTAAAACTTTGAAAGAGGTTCAATAAATGAGTGTAAAAGAAAGTAAGAAACGACTCGCTAGCTAATCCATTCGTGCTCTTACAACTGTGATTGACCAATGATAAATAAACATAACGAAAGTAATTATCGAGCAAGGAAAGTCTGAAAAATGTCACCACGAGTTCATTGAATGCTCTGAATAAATCGACAGATTTATCTATTTCACACATCCTCTCATTTCAAATGAATTGCAATCCCCTCAAAGAGTCTGATTTTCCGATCAAGAAAGCCTATCAGTTGGTGAGTTCAGCGATGCCGAGATCACCGTGTGATAATTCCATCCCCGTCTTTTTGCTCTGTTCTCGAACAAAAAAAAACGAGAAAAAACGAGAGCTTCACGCTGTGAACAGCAGCTGTTCGGTGCAAAACGTTAAGAGAAAGAAGAGAAGAATTTTCTGCGAGCAGCTGTTCAAGCGCTAAGCGATCATGAACGACGTGAACTCGCAATGTCATTTGGTAATCGACTTTTATTGTGATAAAATCAAAGGCAACATTCGATTCCGCAGATACAGATTAATCAGCAAGCACCGCCTGTTGGATGAATAGCCGTCCAAAAAACGAACAGATTTTTCCGCTATTTTTTCACGAGCCCATTCATTTGATAGAGATCGATTGCTTCCGTTAACTGGGAAAATCATTCGCACGTAGAAAATCGAAAAATATCCACGGAACAAGGCTCAACGTACAATTTTTGCGCAAATTAGTACATAATGGAAAAAGTAAACACAAACAAAAGTCTTGATAAAAAATATTGAATGAAAAAAAGAAAAGGAGAAAACAAAAAGATTGAGAAGGGGACATTTGAGTGTGTTACGGTAAAAGAGGAAAAATGTGTTAGTGCTGGTGAATGAAGAACCTTACGAAGCCGGGTACATAAAATCAAGACTAAACGCCGCAGCTACTACTGGGAAAAAGAAAGGAAACGGTCATCCCAAGAGACCGCTAGCTCATTCATTCTTACTCCCACACTAGCGTTATAGCCTTTCGTTTGCATCCAGCCTCTATCATATGGAGATACATACTTGAGTTGCAACAATTACTTCGCGCGCGAAGTAATCAATATTCATCTTTAACACATATGTTGAAAACATTCAGGTCAAAGGGAATGTGGCTCCTGTTGTTTCCATAAACAGCTACAATGACCCTGTCTTTGCTCACCTCACCTACCCACTACTTCCGGAAACCCTCTTACCCAAAGGCAAGGGTAATAAAAACCTTGCGCCGGTAGGCCTCTGACTGTACAATGCTTAGTGCTTCTATGGAACTTACGAAAAAACCCTGGGCATTTCGAAAGTTTGAAGTGACCCAAGGGTTAAGGAAGCGGAAGCTTGTGGAAAAGCCAGTAATTTAGTGTAGTGTACTAATTGATAATTACAGTTTGTATACGCCCCCCTCACCTCCTCCTTCCTCCCCCTCATCCTCAGCCACTCCTTTCTTTTTCGGCTCAATTTATAGTTTATTTACAAATTCTCCGATGCACCCACCCACTTTAATCACTCCTCCCCTCACAACCTAAATACCCATCCAAAATGGAAGGAAGACTTTTTCTTCCCTTAACATGACCCCTGCGTTTGCTACTCGCCTCAAGTGAAACCTCACACTTCCTTCCGTTTGAAAGATAATCCCTTCCTTCCCATCACATACGTCTGTATCTCACTCTATGACATCCGTAACACGTCTGGCACGGGAGGATCATCCCACGAACTTTCTACTTGAAACCTACATAATCCTGGATTATTTGGATACTACATAATACTATATACGTTATAAATATTGATCGGCAAGGTATGACCCCACCCTCATGGGTCTAGATGCAATTATAGCGCTATAATACACGCTCGAACCGCGTTTGTTTTGCTGTTCGACACGACGGCAACGACAACCACGACAACTTCCTCGTTCAGTGAATGGCCGGAGCTCACCCCCAAACACGGCACTGCGTCACCAAAAGGAAGAATCATTGAAAATTCAAGAAAAAACTGATGACGTCACCTTGTGAAAGCGTCAATCGTTTTTCAGGGCTTTGCATAATAGCCTGCGTGATCAGATCTGCATAACTGAGATTGCCCCAAGCATTCCTGCGGGTTGTCGACTTCTTCGATACACCGGCACCACCGACACCGCCGTCCATCGAATCGTTACCGCCTGCTTGACCACCGTTCTGATCATTCATACCCGGCGATGACATATTGCAGCTGCTGAAAATCGATACATTGATTAGTATTGATTGAAATAATTGGAAGATGTGCTCACCCAGGCGAGAAGGTGTTGTTGCCATCGGGGCTGTGCAGAAGGCCCGTTGAGGCCGCCGAATTCGCACCCAGTCTGCCGTTCAGGTTTTCTGCGCTGTCGTAGAGCCTGAAAATGACAGCGCATAAAAAACGACAAAAATTAGTCAAAACTATAAAAAATAAAGTATAATAGGTACCCGAGCAACCTTTGATGACAAGGCAAAGTCTGAACGAAACCGACTTCGACCTTCTAACAGAAACTCGTCTCTAACAACTCGTACTCGTCTCAGAAGGAGTAAAGCCGTCAACGACGATGGAATCGAAGGAAACGCCCCACCCCTCGTCGACTACTCCGTAACTACTTCCCCGGGGACGACGTTATCAGTCCCTATAAATTGTTTACCGCGCCACACACGACGCGAGAGAGGCCTCTCCTCATCGGCCTATGGATGGGCACGACGGCAGCTTACTCACTCGCTGTGAAATTATTGTGCATATCAAAACACTCACGGTTGCATTTTTAACCAGATTAAGTGGTCCCGATCAGGAATCAACGCTTTACCGAAATCGAAATTGTTCAAAAATTACCTACTAAATTTCGTATTTACACTAGTGATTGAGGCGAGGTAATTTGATAAAGATAAGATCTAATAAAGAACATCTGGGAATGGGCGGGTCTTGCCACGTAGGCATGGCTCCTATCGAAAGAGCTAGGCTCTCTGCGAAGCAAGACTGCTTTACAAGCACCGTTTTAACAACCAAAGTTTGATGCTAAGAGTAGATTGGCCGCAGTGTAGTTCTTTGATAAACCCATTAAAGCATTTCGGAATTCGGAAATACCAATTTCGGAAATCGGAAGTCAGAACAGGATGCGCTCAAAACTGTAAGCTCAGGAGAAAAATGTTTGCAAGCATTCCGGAAATTTATTAACACGATATAGGGCACGAAAAAGAAGTCTATAGAAGGCCAAGGAGTTCCGAAATACGAATTCCGATTTCCGGCAGCTAAATGAGTCTCACAATTGCTTTCTTTCATTCTGATGCACAAATCTTTAGTTCTTTGTTCAGCAAGGATGCGTCTAAGTTTCAGCGACCGGACCTTGCCCTGATAAAATGAACAACACTGCTTCATTCAGATGCCCTTGGACGACTGCCCAGTTAAAGGTCGGGAAAATTGCAACAAGACCCCTCTTTACACTTACTCTCCGTCTTCCTCCGGTATCTGTTCATGTATCAACGGACTCGTCTGCGCATTCCCGTCCAACTGTGGTCGTCTCATTGGCCATGTGTTGCAACGATCTCGTGACAAAGGTCCCATCTCCTCGCCAGAATCACCGCCACCATCGGATGAGGCGCTTGTGGCCCCAGCGTTGATAGCGCCACCACCAGTGGCTGGTGTCATGTACACGTCGCCGCCGTTACCGACCAACTGGCCGATCGACGACGATGCCGACGACGATCCGCTGCTCGGCAGGGGTGGCTGAGTTGCCAACGGTGGCGGTGGTGAGATGGCTGTGGCTTGACTGCTCATAGTGACCGACGCGGCAGCAGCGACTCGGTGGTACGGGTCTCTCCAGAAGTCGTCGCAGCCAACGAACTGCTTGCTCTCTACACGATGGTTGTTTGTCGTCAGCACGATGTGGCAGAGCACACTATGAAATTAATCGGGATCAGGTGATAGGGTGGATGATATCAGTCGACGTAGCGGTAGCGATGACAGGTACGGTAAAACGATCAATAATTGATTGGGACACTGTCAGAGAGATTTGAAGAAGAAATTTTGGTATGATATGGCAGAATCAAAGCACAGAGTAAGCGATAGAAAAGTAAAAAGTCGTTTCGTAGACCGGGAGTCCATCTAGAAGCTTATAGTGACCAAGATAAGAAAATCTAGAGAAAAAGGTGTGGCGATAAGTGATCAGGACCATTTTTAGAGTGACGATTGTTCCCAGAAGAAGACTTCCCAAGTGAGAACTCCAGACTGTCCCAGGATTAACATCAGTGAAGGTGACACGGAAGAGGAGAACCTTTACCGCGCACGTACATCAAATCCTGTTCAATGCAGAACTTTAACATGCAGTCCTTAGGCAACATTACCTAACAATCCCTTTTCAACCAGCTTTAATGATTTTATGTCGATCCTCGAGACCTCGAGTATAAAAAATGGAACTGAGCAAAAAAGCACTGGCGCTCGGAAGAAAGCAAAAAATACGGCGAAGCAGTTCATAGACAGCAGATTCTTCTGTACGGTTAATGTATACTGTAATATACAGTATCCCTACATTTCAGGAGGATCAGGGGTATAATCAATCTGCCAATGAAACAACAACTAGAAAGGGAGGCAGGAAAGGTAAGGAGTGGCCACCTATAGGTCGAATAGCCCGACAAGCGGACGAAGTTAAGTTCAGCTTGCCACCAAAAGAGATAACGATTATCCAAGGAGGGCTAAAGAGCTACCACGGTCGGAAAATAACCAGTGAAGAAGATCCCAGCAACGGGAGTGCTGTTGCGTCTCAACGAACGAAACACCAAACGATCGATCGCTGGGCAAAAGTGATCGCAACTGGAAAAAAACACCGTCGACGACGCAACGGATCGCCAGCAAAAGATAATGATGAAAAGAGCCGATGGTAAGTCGACGCGCGACGGGAGTCGTCGCGATGCGACGCCGTGCGGCTGCCGAGAACTCAGCAGGCCCCAACGCGATCTCGAATGCTTCACTCTAGATGAGAATGGTAACGCTAAACATCGACCCTCCGTTCATGCTAGGAGAAGGTCCCATGTAGCAGGTTTTTATACCACACCCCCCTCTCCACCCTCTTCCCTCCATGAGAGAAGATTAAGGTTATTTGTAAATCTAAGAGTTTACGTTAAACACTTGCGTAAGGAGGGTACAGACAGCTACATAGAAGGGGCAAACCACTACCTGAGGACAGTTCGGAAAGAGCTTTTGTTAGGGATTCCCTGGCCTTGGGATGAAACCTGTGAGGAAATCTTCAGCTAGGAATCCCTAGATTTCGAAGGAACTAGATCATCGATTAATGGCCGTAGAAACGAAGAACGCAAACTGTAACCCGACATGGAACGGCAATGATTGATCATACTTGCAGTGGGCAATCATTAAAGGTATCGTCTTGGAAACCACGCGCCTCAAACTTCCCCAAATCCAAGTATGCTGGAATTCAGGCCTTGCGGAAATGAATTACATAAAAAGGTAAAAACTCTCCGCTGAGCAAAAAAGGTAGAACTAAATCTTTTCAAATTCTGCCGATCACTTCGGCAAAGAAGAATGCAACAGAACGAGAGGTTTGCAGTGTTAGCATAACACCTGCTATTGGGTCCAAACATGTTCTACCCGAAGGGCTTTTTGGTGACGCCTCTGGAGGTTGGACCTCTAGCAAAATTTGATCAGAATTAGCGAATTTCATATTTTCTCTGGAGGTTCCAAATCAAAGTTTTTCACATCTCTAAAATTTGCAGTTAATAGTTAGTTTGAGTGTGAAGAAATCGCATAACGTTCTAGCGAACAGGAGGTTTAAAAGAGAGTGAGAGAAAAAAGAGAACAGAAAAGTTGTGGAGAGAAAAAGGAAGTCATTAATTCATAAATCGTTCACGTGGCTGTCGTAAAAGATTTGATGGATGACGGTTGGGAGAAAATGAAAAAGACCGTTAGTTGAAAAAGCATTCAAGGCATCGAAGATCGGTTCTATCCGGGCAACTGATCCAAAAGGTCGATAAGCCTAGAAGAGAAGAGAAATTTGAGTAATTATATTTGAACAATCAAAGCGGAATGAATAGGGGAGTTTGCGTGCTGAAGTCACCACTGTCAAAATCAGAATTCGCCATAAACTGATGGGGTTCTGCGGGACCGCCAGCCAGTGAGCTCCTGGGTATGTCGTGGGTCAAAAAAATATGCGAATTTTTGACCGAAAAGAGCCAGATTATGAAGCGTCAGGAACAAATTCGACCGTCACCCTCCCCCTCCCTAGTAGAGCAGTATAAAGAACTTCAATATGAGTTGCGATCGAGCCTCACATGATTTAACCGAACCTTATCACAAGGCTCATAATGATTCAAAATAGCCTTTGAAAAACAAAGAATTTGAGGAGAAAGTTGACCTCAAGTTAGATTTCCAACTCAGTTAGTTAGGGTCAGTGTAATTAAGACAAGTCCAATGTCAGTTCTTGGGAATTTTCGACCCTCATCAACCAGATGCAGCGACTGAAAACTCCCAATACATCAAGCTTGACCAAGCCTCGAACCGCTGTCCTTAAATATTGTAGCGTCCAACCGACTGAATAATCCCCAGCACTGGTAAACTATTTCAGAATCTGGTGCTGCTCGAATCGGCAGAGAACTTTCTTAGAAACTCAACAGAAAGATGCTCACGAAAAGACTTAAAACTCAGCGCTGATCACTGAGATGCGCCACGCATCGGACTTCCCATCAAAATCGTGGAAGCATACAAGTGGTCCAATTTTCCATAGAAGTCCCGAAGTTATTTCCAGGCATCCCAAGAGCCATTCGATTGCAAATCGGTCAAGGCGATATTTCTATGTTATGGTAAAATTTTTTTTGATTCTAACGAAATCGCTCAATTATACGTAACCACTGAACATGGTGATCATTTGTCACCCATATGGGAATCTAATTCTGAAAAGACACGACAGGGCTGTACGGGAAACGTGAGCCCATTAATTAACTAGCATCACGCACTGTTATTTGATAAAAGGGCTCGTATAGATGAGCCGGTTAATTAGCTGGGTTCGTTCCCCACGTGGAGAGTGGGCGGGAAGGTGGGTGGACGAGTTTCTGAGAAGGGAGAGGTAGGAAAGTGTCAACTATGTATACAGGATTAGGAGGGAACGCGGTATTAGCGAAGCTTATTAAGAAAATATAGCTTTAAATAGGGGATTTCATCTGACGTCGGTTTTCAAAGCCGTAACGTGTAGGAGGGTGGGCACGTAGAATTTCCATCAGGAAAACGCTTATAAATAATCAAGATATGAAATTTGCCAAACTGTAGAATACCATCAGGGTTACTGGATCCTGGGGATTACCAGATAACCCTAATTCCAGCCACCCCTACTCAACGTCCTGCACAGCCATGGTTCATCCAATTTCAGGACACGTTCTCGAAGGGAAAATTCAATGGTAATTGTGAAGCCATGCGCAATTTCTGAGACATCATCTATAGAGAGCGCTCGCTTTCAACGACACTTCACAACAACACGTCTAATTAAATCTGTTCGCGGCTAATATTAGTCAAGAAGCCGAAATGAAAGCGCCATCGCGGCTGAAATTCTCTTCAGCTGCCCTAGGGTTTACCTAGGTAGGGTAACCTTCGTAGACTAGGCTAATTCCAGGCTGTAACTTGTTCAAAACCTTCCAAAGCTGAAGAAATTCAAGGCGCGACGCGAGTGATTCTAACAAGCTGTTTGGTTAAATTTAGCCGCGTTGCCGTAGTTCGTCGTCGAGCGGCAACTTGACTCATTCGTCAAGCTTCAATCTATGAGCAGAGGGATATGTAATGAATAAATCACTGTGCTGGCATACATTTAGCCCGACCGAAGCTCTCCTGGTCAAGCCCGATAGCAGTTTCCCCCATCTCAACGAGGCCAAAACGTTGGATTCATTCAACCACGTTGCTTTAGGCGATTACTTGAACTTTCATCCACGCGTTTGAAGAGTGTCGCTCCACAAGGTACACACGTTAACCTCATAAAGGGACTGAGAGAGCGCCACATTCACGCTATTCTAGTCAAGATGTGAGCAAAGTAACTCAAAAGTCAGACCATATAACCTGAATTCTCGAATGACTCCTTCGGAATTGTTACATTCGGATGATCTGAGGCTCAAGCACAAGATGAATCGGTTTGCTCAAGCCGGCCGCTTCGCCGCGCCGCTGCCTGTCCGTAACATATGTTCAGCGTGAAGCGATTTATGACCAGCTAAAAGCTGACGGTAGCCCGATGAGCGCGCCAGCATGAGTGATTTCTCAGGTTTCTTCGATGAGAAAAAACCCCTACTTCATGAGAAATCGACCATCCTTACATAACGGTTTCATCAAGTGGCCAGGACTGGACATAATGATTTTGTGAAGGTGTGATATTTCCACATCATAAAAACAATAAAAAATCCATTCGATCATGTCCAGAACGGAGCCAACCAGGAACTCAGATCGGTAACAGGTCACACCAGCCTTTCAATAATCGCTTGGCCCTAACTAAACAAACCAGCAGAGAACGAGAGGTATAGAGGAGGGCGAGCTGACAAGCGGTGGAGAGAATCCTTTCGGTAACCATTAAACATTTCAATTAATTTTGAAAGATCCTGATAAGGTCACAAAAAAGAGTCCAACAAAAGTGATGTTTCTACAATCAAAGTGTCTTAAAAGAAAAATCGGCGTCTAAAAAAATGGCACGCGGGTGCAAAAGAAGCAGGCACTACTGCTTGATAGCCTTGACCACGGTTCAGGAAAAGCAACAACTGCTGATGTGTAGAGAATGATGAATGAGAAAAATACGCAAC